AGAAAGTCCTTTATTTTACAACCTCTTCATAATGGTAGATAGTGCTTTTGAGCAACCAGTTTGTTGGATATTCAGTGCTTTATAAATAGATTATTATTATTATCAAAAGCATATTTCAAAACTGTTGGGAAGCATATTGGAGAATCTGGAGTACCATTCGTAATTGAGGGAAGCTGGGATAATAGCTGATGGTTCTCTTACTTGATTTTTAGCAGGTACCCACTATAATCGATGTAAACGCATCCACCCTTTGCTAGCTTTATCTTTGGAGGTATTACATTTCAGACAGTTTTGTGAACCAAATTCTTCAACAGCTTCAATGTTTCCAAAGAAATGAATGAAATAATTGATTATGCACAAAAGACACTGGCCAGTGAACATGGGAAAACAGCCAAATATTGGTACACGGAAGTGAAAATAATCCGAATATTTTACCTTTTTTCACTAGGTATTCATGTTGGTAACAACTTATTTACACACTGCCGCTTTGAAATGTCAAGTTTATTCTTCAGTTTATATCAGCCAAAATATGCCAGATGGATTCTCTGGTTGCAACACATCCTGGAATATCTGACAAATTCCAAAGAGGTGTCCTTCCCATACGTAGAACAGACAGTTAATGCAGATGCTGCTAATTGTTTTTCAGGTATTAGTATCATCATAGAAATTCCATAGCAGCTAGACAGAGATGGTCCATATCTCAATAAATTATATGAGGGCAACTATAGTTGGAGTTTGAACATTTAGACATTTCCAGACCTAAAGATGTAACTTCTGAATTGAGACAAGCTAATATTCAGAAGAACACAGCACATCGCATCGAAATTACTGAAAGAATTGTAAACATGTCTAATCCATTCAAGAATAATGCGCAACAGGATATATTAATTAACATTAATCAACAGATTTCCTTTTAAACGTTTTTGAAAATGGTAACATGTCTCATGACAAATTGATTTCAGAAGTTATTGCAGACCCCTCCTGATTTGATAAACCCATAAAACGGTCAAAACCAAACCCAATTGCATCTAACGGTACCTAAAACAAACGAAAAAGAACGGCAAGATGTAGGCTACAGTTGAAAATGGAGAATGATATAAAGAGTAGATTGCTTTATCGAAAATAAATTAGACCTGATGATTACTACATGTATATCTTATCCGCTCACACAATGCCATATGAAACCATGATATCAACTCAAACATCTTTACTTTTGGAGGCCCTTGAAAGCAGAATAGTTTTGTGAGCCTAAATGGATTGACTGTACAGTGATAGATGGAATGGTTTTTCTTCATTTACTTGGAGACCTCACAGCAACATTTGGTGCAATTTCTCATTATATTTTGGTTAAAATATTTAAGTGTGTCGAGTCAAGAGATCCATGCTGTATTTGACAGAAATTAAAAAACATCGATAAAGGACATAGAGAGAGATAGACGTACTGGTTCTTTAGATCTAGACCAAGAATACACCATTTCAGGTCCAAACATGAGACTGCCATCATCAAATTACATCAGGATTCAAAAATGACAAGTTCAAAAAATCTCTTGTGCAGTACATAATTACATCAGGATTCAAAAATGACAAGTTCAAAAAATCTCTTGTGCAGTACATAGGTAACAATTGAATGAGTACTGACTATTTGCCATTGTATGTAACTCTGGATGGAGTGTTATTTTTTACAAATGTAAACAGGTCTCTTCAGTGTAACAAGGATTCTACATTGACATGTATGCACGAAGACGCAGATTCAAGAATGCTTTTTCATATAGCTGCGACAAACCTGCCCAAACATAATATTGTCCGTTCCATAGCAACATATGTTATGATCAATTTACTTGGATATCCTTGTGTTGGAAATGTGTGGATAGTGGTTGGAATACAGTCGCAAAATAATTTGAGATATATTGAGACAATTAGTTCCATCATTATGCAGTGATGTACCAGCTTTTCACTGGTTCACTGACTGTGGCTACACTGCTGCATTCTTTAGAATGGGGCAGTTTTGTCCAATAAAGGTCCTTGGGGCAATTCAGAGTCCCAAGAATAATTTTCCAACTTTGGATGCCACCAATATATGAATGACGAAGATATACCTACAATAGAAAAGTTTGTTTGTTGCACATATGGATTATATCATTTAACAAGTGTACATTAGGCCAGATATAGAAAGTTCTGAAAGGTTTCTAAGTCAAACAGAACCTACTCACAGACATTTGACACAAATTTGAATCATATTTCAGTTCGTAGATTTAACTTTTAAGTGATAACAAAATGTGTATTCACCTTGCTGGTGTGGTAGGTTGTGATATTTAAGTAGTCAGATTAGGGATATGCCCCACTGATACCAGTCAGATTTTATATTTTTAGAACCGACTAATATACAGCTAACATTTGACACCAGTTTCAGTCATGAGGCAAATTTTGACCCTATTTGTGGGCGTGGCAGATTAGGCACATTTAAGTGGTCAGATTAGGGGTTTGCCCCAATGAAACCAGTCAGATTTGATATTTTTGGAAGAATCTCACAATTAACTAACATTTGGCACCAATTTCAATCTTATTACTTATGAGGCATTTTTGGGCCCCCGTCCACACTTTTTAGGGCAGGCAGAAAGGGGCGTGGCCCCATTTTTTCCGGTCAGATTTTGCATTTTAATATTCAGATATAGCACCACAACATTTCAAAACTATTTCTGATCGTATTACTTATGATGCAAATTTGGACCTTTTTTGTGGGCGTGGCAGATCGGGCAGATTTTAAGTGGTCAGATTAGGGACGTGCCCACTGAAACCAGTCAGATTTGATATTTTTAGAATCGGCTCATACATAGCTAACATTTGGCACCAATTTCAACTATATTACTTATGAGGCAAATTTTGTCCCCCGTCGGCACTTTTTAAGCCAGTCAGAAAAGGGCATGGCCCCACTTTTTCCGGTCAGATTTATATTTTTTATATTCATACATTGTATGGCAACATTTTAGAACTAATTCTGATCCTATTACTTATGAGGCAAATTTTAGCCCTTTTTGGCCCTTTTTATCTGCCCTTCCCAGCCAAATGCCCCACTGGAACCTTGTAAGACTGGATGTTTTGAATTTGCCCTATCAATAGCTGCCAATTAATATGGTCAAACCTTCTATTACTTATGAGGCAGTTTTTTCGTCACTGGCTCTTGGTCTAGAACATGAAAAGGGAAGTAACCCTTTTGAATGCAATCTGAACGACAGACTCACCCTACCTGCAGAGAAGTGACTCTGACACAGTGAATAGCCATGATAACCATATGACGTTATCTAAACGTCACAGGTCATGAGGTCACATCAACAAACAAATGTAAACACCATCATTATGATCATTATCAACATTACAAGACACAATGTTACATTGTAAACAATAGCCTTCTTGCAACCTTGAGGACTGTATAATCCGTACAGAACGTCCTATCGCTTCTTCCAATGATTTTTCACAAAAATAACATCATCTACAACTGTAGATTTGACGTCGGCATATTGGCACTATTTTGTGCTTCGGTCGTGTCTATTTCAGATATTCACAATCAATTATGTTAACGTTATTAGCGTGGGGATTGACTAAAAGTTAATAAATTTCAGTTCTAAACAAAAATTTAAAACTTTAACGCGATTTTAAAAAAAATAGCCAAATTCTGGCTGGGATTACTGAGCAAAATGGCCATTCAAACGGAGAAATTACATTCGTTAATTGCGGGGAATATTTGGTGGACTGTTCCAATATCGAAGGGAGGCTGACCACCATTAAATTTCATTGGTCAACCTCATACAAAATCCGTTGCTTTGTCTGTAAGGTGTGTACAAGGCATGTCATTGAGTAGAATGGTGTGGTTTCCATTCACTGCTTGTACGTGACAAGGAGTAGTGTCGCCTGTCCAACCTCTTGGGTTTACTCCGGTTTCCTCCCAGTGTTAAAGATCTCTGCGCGCTAGCGAATTATTGAAATAAAATTGAACCATATTTTAGTCGAGAAATGACCAAGCTTGTATCGAATGGACGTTAAACCCCATTTCTTTCCCTCTGTAGAACATTTGAGGTAAAGTTGGAGCCGGGGAAAGAGACCAGAATTAACACTTTAATGGAGTTATCTCCCTTCTAACATCTAACACCGAAAAAAATGAAATGAGCTCAGTAACAAGTGGTATCAGTGTTTCGTCGTGACGAATGAGCATCTAACAGATTTGGAACGCAGAACCACACAGGTGTATAGAAAACGTAACTTCAACAACGGTAGAACGACAAGTGTATAATTTTCTTACTGGGGCCTACCTGCCTTTGCTGAAGTCGTGAAGGGCTATCTTACAGTTAGAATAAAATATTTTTGCCGACAGAACGGGCCCTTGGGTGGGTGCCAATGTTTTGACTGCACTACAAACAGGCGTTACGAATCAAAACTATTCTATCTAGACCAGGGATGTCAAGCATGCGGACCGTGGAAAATATTTCAACAAACTTGCGTGTCGATAATTCTTATTAGAAACTTGCGGTGGAAACCATTTACTATTGTTTTCCGGTTTCAGTAAAACTCTGACTTCTGTACTGTATGTCATAGATATCTAGCTACGTTATATGTAATACAAGAGAATGCTGTGTTCAATATTATATCTTGGAAATTTGGAAACCAGTCTAAAAAATTACCTGTTTCAAGAACGTATGGCTTTGTTTTTAGGGCTAGCGCTAAATGATAAGGCCAGCTCAATTTTTCGTCATAGGTTACGAGATGTTAACAGGGCTAGCGCTAATCCCAACCCTAACAGATAGATCTTGCCTTGTTTTTAGAATTTAGTAAAGTTCAAGGACTTTTGACTTTATCTTGATATTTTTGTATATCTCCAGCCCACTTGATGTAAAATTTTAGCTCATGTGGCCCCTGAATCGAAATGAGTTTGACATCCCTGATCTAAACTAATCATAGTGTAATACGTCTAATTAAAAGTACATGCCAGGAATCAGGGACGACCACAATACTGTAAAACAAAAACAAAGCTTTTATTCAATTTTCTATATCGATGTAGAAATTTCAATTGACTCTTCGACTGGAACATCAGAATCAATCAGAACAACTTCTTCTACTAGACTTCTATCACAATTATAGTCTGTACAATTATTAGAATTGATCACTGCTGAGTCCATAACTACAGCTTGGATCGCGCCAACCGATAGTTCATCGTTAGATAGCGTTTGTGACATCCGTTTAGCACTTGATTTCCTTCCAGACGAGGCATCTATAACTTCTGTTTCAAGGGATATTCTTACACAAGTATCATCCTCGCCATTAGCCACGCCAATCTTGAAACCACGTGATTCATTTTTCAAACATGTCCTTTCCGTATCCCTGTTAATTTTACAAAGGGAGTTTGAGAATGATTGGATTAATGGCCGTTGATTTTCAGATTCCCGGGGATTATTTTGTGACACTTTCTCTTTTATTTTCACTATGAGACTGTCTAGTTTTGTATTTCGTTTTCTTGAAAATTGAGCATTTGTCGATTTCCCGACATTTGAATTCGTGGCTAATTTATCTTCCATATTGGAACTTTCGTCGATACATGTCGTTTTCTGATCTTCGCTATGACATAATTCGTGACGTTTGAGGTTATATTTATACGTGAACACTTTAAGGCAAACTAGGCACTGAAACTGTTTTCCGTTCGTGTGTGTAACATTGTGGGCTCGAAGAAGCGCGTTTCTCGAAAATCTCCTCTCACATTCTGAGCATTTGAACGGCTTCGTGTCACTGTGGCTTACAGTATGGCGCCTCAGATCGTTGGCAGACGTGAATGATTTGGAGCAGTCGTTACACTTATGAGGTTTATCCTCCGAATGGAACATCATATGCGCCTTTAACGTATGCCTTTTTTCGTAGCTCCGCCCACATATTTCGCACATATATCTGTTTTCTCCAGTATGGAACTTAGCATGGGACGTCAAATGTTTCTTAGAATCAAAGACCTTTTCACAAATGACACACTTTAAATCTTGTGTAGCGTGAACGCTTTGATGTCGATTGAAGTGAACTCTGCTACTGAATACCTTTTCGCATTTCTTACATTTAAATGGCGTATCTCTTGTGTGTATGACTAAATGTTGTTTAAGGTTGCTCCTATCTGAAAATCCTTTAGCGCAGAAGTCACACGAATACGGCTTCTCTTTTGCATGTATTCTGGCGTGTCGTACTAAATTCCACTGTTGTTTAAATACTTTACCGCACTCATTACATTTAATTAACGATTCCATTTTATTCAATTTCCTTGACATCTTTATAACGGTAGGTTTACCTTTACCAAAATTTTATTCCGTTTCGTTTGATTTTTTTATCATCAGAAGATTGTAATCTGCTTTGGATATTTTTTTGATGACGAAAGGGAGTTGGCCTATATTATTTACCATTAACCATTATTTATAAACTTTGATTTCTTTGAAGATTGTGGTTTTTCTCTGATTGACTGACGAAGAGAAGTAGTCCTATTCGTTCTAAAAAGAAATGAGGGAAGAAAATATTAAATATACATTATGGGAGATTAGATAACGAGTTGACAGTTCTCACTATAATAGTTAAAAACTAGATAATGTAAAGGGAATTTGCTGAAAATTTCAGTCAAATTGATCCACACTGAACCGAGAATATAGCAATTGAATTTTAGACCTAGCCTCGACAGTCTTACGATGATTTAGCCATCTTAAACTGGGAATCGAAACTGACTTATCCATTGTGTACCGAAACATTCATTTGGAGACATTGTCTTAATCATTTAATTCATTTAGTTACAGATTAATTCACTTTAAATCGCCCTTGAGAAAGATAGAAATTTGGGTTTAACGTCCACTCGACACAAACTAAGTCATTTCAAAACTAACATATAGTTCAATTTTATTTCAATAATCCGTTTGCCCGTGGGGTCTTTAGCAGTGGGTGGGATACCGGAAAGCTTGGAATCGAAACCATTCCCCTTGGCTTCATGACGGGCTTATGATCTAAAGCGCACACGTTAGCCCCCACCCCACCACCACCTGCTTAAATCGTTTCAACCATATGACCACGACAAGGCACGTAAATATGTATCGATATTTTTTTTTTCTTATACTAAATTCTAAAAATGTCTCAATGTGTATATGTCACATAAACCTGTTCATTAAAGTGACTAGTTACACATGTCTACTATGTGCCGAGATCGTTGGAGTGACCCGTGTAGTTCTAATAAATTATACACTGAATGAATTATCTTGTTAATCAAACTTCCATTTTATGTTATACTCTAACTTTACTCTTACAACTACAATCAGCCAAACACATTGCAAATTTGAGATATAATTTTACCTGCTGAAGCTAACGTTGGAGTGACTCGGTGACTTTCGGTAGACATTTGCTACCAGACACTCTAAGTCAAACTGGCAAAAGTTCTAACCACCGTCTACCTACTTCAATGAACCAAAGTTCATATTTTCTAGCTTGATTCATTAAGCATATTGTAATTGAAAACAGATTAATGTGAAAGAATATTACATTCGCCAAGAAGAGTGTGCACGAAATAATAAAATCGATAAAAAATCAAAGAAATCAGTGGGCTCAAACTGGCTTACATTATTATTAGTACAAGGATGCAATGCGCCACTTCTTATCATCCAATGCACCACGTTTGGAGCATGTGCCGGAGATTGACGATCCTTGCCCTTCACTCTGTATCGTTCACCTCTATGACTTACGACACAAATAATATTAGATTGCATTGGCGTTAAAGGATAATATTGGTGTCAGTCATTATGCATATGTGATAGAACTGGTTAAACACATTCCAAATATGATTTTAACACAGAGATCATTGCAACGATAGATGCGTTTTAAGATTTCAAGAAACGGAAGTGACGAGAGATAACAGATACACGGGCGAATTTCTGCTCACTAATAATTCCTTCGAAGACCAAAAGTTGTTATATGAGATTTTGGGAGGATATCTGACACTTTAAAAAATAATTGACTGTCACTAGATAAGAGAAAACGATAAAAATATAAAAAGTCCGTGCATTACCATGTTTGTACTAAGTATAGAATGAATAAAATCAAGGGAATGTGAGAATGACTGACACCAATATTGTCCTTTAACAGTAAATAAACTGATATGAGCGTTGACAAACTTTTTTTTAGTATTACCATCCGATATACAAGTGTCACGGTTGGATTGCTCCTCATTGATAATTTATAAGTAGGTCGCACGTGTTTGCAAGTTTTGTAAAAATAGAAAATGATCTAAAACCATCGGGATAATTAATAATAGGTTGCCAGGCAACATGATATACGCATTGTATACACTCCTCATTTACTGATTTTAAACTCTCCTATGGAAGTACTTGTAAAAAGGAATCATAATTGATAGATACTGTTTCTGAAAATATAATTAAAATTTGCAAGGAATATGACAGGGAAAACTGGCGTAGAATTAAACTCTGTAGTGAGGGTGCGAGTATTATGCATGTTTATCAACAATCGTATCATTCAGAGACTATGTATACGGGTGTATATTTTTTAACTGCTTTTGCGGAAACGCCCACAATCGATAGGGAACTTCTTTATGGCTACAAAATGGACATGTGAGGGTGCTCGAGCGAAGCCTTAAAGTGACTGCTCTTGAAAATTAAGTCGGTTAATTACTATTCAATGGCTTTCTATTTTCACCAGCCTGATTAAAATACTTGGCTTAAAGTGAATATTTTTCAAATCATAGGTTTTAGTTTTGGGGTTAGTTTTGGAAAGTCACTATAACAAGGCAACATGTCCCCCGGCTCAATCTCAAAATAAAGAGACAATACTTATTGATGTATCATTTTATAAAGCAAGGAACAGTCCAAACTGCATATTACCCTGCTTAACCGGAGCATAAAATACTCACTGGTGTAAGTAATAAAAGGCAGTTTGCTCATTGTTCAATTTATGGGGATGATTGACCGCATTTTTTATAGTTCACTGAACGTACTCGTTAACTTTTTTGAACGTAACCAAATCATTATGAATATATTGGCAATTGTAGGTTACTCGCTTCGCTGAAGCAGAATATTAGTTTGTGATGTGTGTTGAATGTAATCAGTTCGGTGAAACTAAACAAATGAAATGAAATGATGTTTAACGTCCTACTGTTCTGTTCCTATACTGGGCTAATGAAGACGGGCATACGCCATACAGTGTGTTATGAGGGAAATTTTGCCCGGGCAGCGGCACTATCGCCTACTCTTATATCGAATTCCAACTACCAGGGGATCTTTTACATGCATTCCTTGTCAGGCCCTCCGTTCTGCACCACTGACAAGGGGAAACCACGTCGGGAAACTAAACAAATATATGGTTAGAATATATGGATCTTACATATGCAAAACTAATTTCGTTTAAATTTCTTTTCGTTTGGGAGGGTGGGGGTGAGCAATTGGTTAGCACTTGCGCGCTGTATCATAAGGTCTGTCATTGAGTCAACTGGCGTGGTTTAGATTCCCCGGTTGTACGTGACAAGGTGTAGGGTTGCCTGCCCAACCTCGTGGGTTTTCTCCGGGTTCCTCCAACTGCTAAATACCACGCGCAAGCGAATTATTAAAATAAAATTCAACCATTTGTTAGTCCCGAAATGACCTAGTTTGTGTCGAGTGGACGTTAAACCCCCTCTCTCTCTCTGGTTATCGCGGCTATCGCCAATATTAACGGGTCCAAGTTGGGCGCTGTGTCGGTAGTTTTTACTATATCCCCTCGTCTTCATTAGTCAACGTCGAGCCCCATTTCATTTCATTTCTTTTATCTCCTACTAAATTTCGCATTATTCAGTGATACCTGGCGAGGAAAAATTTATTTAGCTGTATATTTTTTCCCTTCTTAACGAGATCTAATATAAAATCGGCGGTGCACCGGGACTTAAGACAGGTCTAGTGATCGATACGGGCAACGGGTCCAACACAATCTGCATATCTTATTTCAAAAACTCAAGCTCTCAAGGAAAATATATAAATTGTCAAATATAGTATATATTTTAGCTGTATAATAAGCCAGAATATGTGAATTTTATGATCATTTAGTGGTGAATATAGAATAGAATAGAATTGCATTGCATTCAAACGTCCAATTGAGGACTGCATACAATATACATAGTAAAAAATTATGGACGGGCACCACAGAGTAAAACGGGCACAAATTCTGAACACTCACATAGCCAGACGTCACAGCATATAAAATCCACATGACATCCTTTAATTTTTATAGGATTATTCAAGGATTATTTGAAATATATAAATGGCAGAATTTTAGTTTCTGTTTTAGTTTGTCTTAAGAACTATAGGCTATCTAGTTATAACGGTTACATATTTACTCTCGCAAGTCTCGTGTGGCTCGCCACAACTCGTCTACGAACTAGGTCACAAGACTTCAAGGCGAAGATAGGATTGTATTGAATAGGTCGTTGATAGAAAATGGATGTCGGTGAGAGATTGTTAGTAGTGGATTTTTATGTGTATTGAAATGTAAGTCTACATATTTTTTGTTTTTATACTGGCCTAGTCGACAAACAAATCATTAAGGCTAAGGATATAGAGTAGAATGCTGTCATTGTTGTCACGGGTTTACAAACGTCATAAAATCTATTTCCGAGTGTCATGTTTGGCTCGACTTGTCCGACAGTAGTTCGCCAGTCTGACATTGTTTATGGAAAGCGTGTTTTGTAATCATCTAATATTATTTATTAACTTACGGTAGTACGGTCAAATAGTAGATAATTTATTGATGTATAATCAGAGATAAATTTGTTTGGTTAGCACTAGCAGTGTTTTTGCTGAAACGGGGCATCGCGTACATTTGTTGATTTTTTGGTGTCAATATCGTCATGTGTTGCGTAACAGTTTTTGGTGACTATTTATCATTTCGGCATCAGGTGATTTTCTCGCTGTTTTTTTTTAGTGATTATTTATGCCTGGTCTAATCTTTATCTTAGATTGTGAATGGACACCCAAGATAGTAAACATACCGGTATATAATAATATTGTTCTGTAAATGTAATTTAAATAGAAATGAAGGTCCTATGTAATGTATAGGCCTACTATTCAGAAACTATTCTGCTCTGCTGACTGGGCTAATGTCATGAAGATGAGCATACGCCATAACAGTGTGCAATGTGGGAAATTTTACCTGGACAGCGGCGCTATACAGCATACATTTGTATCGAATTTCAACTGCCAAGGGATCTTTTACGTACACGCCATGTGTATGCGGGGTCTCACTTTTTCATCCCATCCAAATGGCTATACCCTGGCCTGGCCCTTTGTCCTGCAACCACTAACAAGGGGAAACCATGCCGGAAATTTCCGATGAACTTTCTCGGCCAATGCTGGGATCGATCACGGGACCTCCAGGTTATCGAGCCAATGTCTTACACATTGAGCCACCGTAACATAAAATGGCGATCATGTTTGATCCGACTCCCTTTTCTGTTTCCATCACTTTTACACCGAAAAACTGGCGGTTAGCCGTCCGTACTGTGACCACATGGAACTTCCTACTTTCTGTTAGGGTTAGGATTAGGGTTAGGGTCAGGGTCCTGTCTCACGAAATTTTAACTAAGATAAAATCCAAATTTTAGTAATTTGATTGGATAATATTAGATTGATTTTGGTGCTTAGCCAATCAAAATTGAAGTATCTACTAAAATTTGGATTTTATCTTAAGTTAAAATTTCGTGAAAGAGGGCCCAGGTATTTAAGATTGAAACACAAAAATGGAAGTCACATCAAACATGAATGCCCATAAAATAACACAATTGTGTGAGCATATAAACTGTAGCTTTGATACAGGTTAATGATTTTCAGTTTTAAACATCAACTGAAGATTGTTGCCACAAGAGTAAATATATCTTGGACCAAGTCATATTGACTCAAACTTTTATTGAAGGGAATTATCTTAAAAGTAGCTGTACTTCAACATGTTATTGTAACAATCTACCCAGAGTAATCATTAATTGTTGACTGTATTGATTGATTACCAATACCATTAGGTTATTTTTCATTCAAGAAATTGTTATTTTAGTGGAAACACAAAATGTCGGGGTCATTCAGGTTGGATTTTGTAGGAATAGAAGACCATTCCACAACCACACTGCCAATAATTTACAATCTTTGGTAGTTTTGATACCCACATTTTAATAGATCCTTTCATAGTACTCTGTGATGTGTCATACTAGGCCTTCCATCATACACCACTGACAAGGGGGGGTCAGGGTGGATAATTTTAATGATAAACGTGGTTGACCAGCACTGGAATCAAACCTCCAGGGTATCAAGTCAGCACCTTCCCAGATAACGTCATGATGCTAATTTGACGTACATTTTACGATCAATTTGCTCATCTTTTTAACGCCAGAAAATGTAAATTTTACATAGAGATTATCACCATTTTTTATTTAAATCCAACTTAAATGCAATGTCATTTTTTAATGGAAATCTTATGTAAATTTTACTCACTGAACCACTTGGCAAAAGTGATATGTAGAATCAAATTCATATAGGCTAGTATTTATAATATTTATTTTTATCCATCTACTTTCGGCTCATTTACACAGAATTGAATGTTACTTGTTTATTAAAGATTATATGTAAGAATTAGATAGAGAGCTGACCATTCCATATAAACTGTGTTGTGTTTTTCTGACCATTTTTATTCTTATTATAATAGTTCGAAAATAGTTCATGCAATATGAATATATTGAAAATTTCATTCAAATTGTTCCATTGCTAGTAAATATATTAGCTTTTGAAGGCTTAGCACGATGTGTGCTTTAATTGCTCCACCGTACTGGTTGTTTGAAGCTTAGCCTCGCTTCACCATTTTTAAATTAAATTAAAATATGGCAGAACCATTTGAATCTTCTTAATATCGGAGATCTGATTGCATAGAGAGTTGATTATGGTCTTGTAGTGTTAATAAATGTCTCATTCATAGTTTATCAAAGATTTCAGGCCTAACGAAAGACATAAAATAAAACCAAGTACGAACAATCCAAACCATAAGACAGAATTCGAAGTCCTAAAAAACGTTAAAGACATGCAATAGGCAGATTTATCTCTTGCATAATGTATGTTTAAGAAGTCAATCAAATTTTCAGATTATCTTGTAGGCCTACTTTTTGGGCCACTTGCTCATATGCACCACTTGTATCCTTGACAGATAAAGTGACCAATAAAAATGGAAATAATGGAGACAGATGAACCGCTAAAAGGAGACATGGTAGAGACAACAAAATCAACAGCTAACATGGCTAAATCAAGTTCCAGCAATAATATGTGTTTACCACCATGTCGGATATGTGGAGAGAAAGCATCAGGTTTTCACTATGGTGTCAATACATGTGAGGCCTGTAAGGTAATTTTATAAATTTTGTATTAAAACTAGGGTTACATTTTTTAAACTACATTAAAATCAAAACAGTTTGGAAAATATAGGTTGAAGCCCATCTTAGTAAGCAAACTCTTCAATTAAATTATACTCATACATTGTAATTCAACAAATGCAGTATTGGTCAATATAGTTAAAAAACTTCCATTTACTTTCTGCAAATACATTTGGAGCAGAACATTTTTATTCTGTTGAGGGTCATTTGAAATTAAACTGCAGAAGGAATATAGCACATTTATGTCTAACCATAAAATTGTTTAAGTATTTAGTTTTAATTGGGGTTTTTTTTTCAGGGCTTTTTCCGTCGAAGTTTAAAAAAGAAAGGAAAGTATAAATGTTTTGATAATCAAGATTGTAAAATTGGACCCGGGAAAAGAAATGGCTGTCCACATTGTCGTTATGAGAAATGTTTAGCTGTTGGCATGTCTAAACAAGGTTAGTATTTATTCATTTATGAAGATAGTATAATCAGTGGTGTATACAGGATCTTTGTGATCAGCCTACCAATCAACAGCTATGCTCCAGAAAATGCTGCAAAATGTTGATTTTGAGTCATTTGACTGGCTTTCTAATCAAGTGTTGTTAATGTGCTATCCTCACAGGCCCAGAATATAGTTTTCTTACAATACAGGACCTAATTCTTCAGATTTATTTAGCATGGACCTCTGTGTAAAACTTTTCATGGAAGTTATCCTTTGTTTTGGTTTTTTTAACTTAATTTTAAGATGGGCAGTTGCCACCTATTTTTATTTTTTCAGCAATTAAAACTGGTCGATATACTCACAAAAAACGTACACAAGATATACTGGAAATAAAGAAACTTCAAGAACTTCAAGGATTTACTGATAAATGTATTTTAGATAATTTACGTGATGATACAACACCTGTGGATTCACCTGGTTCTATTAAGGATATATGTTTAGAATCAGAGGATCCTCTTCTGTCAGAAAATGATAATTTAAAGTTATTGTCTGAGATTGCGATAGATACAGATCTTTTTGCGAGGGACTGTAATACTAGTCCAGCGAGTTCAACATCTACTTTAGAATTCTGTTCAAAATTCAGCCCAGGCAAAAAAGAAATCCTTTTGGATCCTGACAAATTAGAGGAGATTGTACAAAGACTCACTGCTATTCATAGTGAACATGTCCAGTGTTTTTCTGCATTGGATAATAAAGAAATGGAAGAAAAAACAACAGAGTACTATGTAAGTATATTTTGGTGATTTTCAATACTGTAGTTTGAAATAACGGTTTTGAGTAAAGATCTTGAAACCTATTTCTGTGTTGAGTAGGCTTTTTAGAATGATCAGCAATAAAGACAAAGATGAATATCTAAATGAAATAGCAGTCCAGAATACAATCCTGGAGTGGCATTTAGCAATGGAGCATACGAGTTTCAACCAACAAGCGTTCTCTCTTCGTAATTACCAACATTTGGCATGCTCTGCAGATGAAATAAACAAGCCAGCCAAACTATATGAATTCATTAAAAGCTTTTGATGGGTCTTTGTCTTAATTAAATGTTAAATAATCAATTTGAGTACATTTATTTTATTAAAATCCAAGACTCAGACGAATTAACACCTTTTTAAAAGTATAGTAGATTGGTACCAGAATCCTTTGTACAGTGATACAATTTTAAATTAAACCAAAATTGTTTATGCATAGGCAATATTGTCTCAGTAATGAACTTTGCTTGTCTGTATTTAAAGACGTTTTAATCCAGGATTTGTTTCAGTCGCAAAATAAAATGCAGAATCGGTAACATAAAAAGCACTGAATAATGAATATATTCGTTCAACTTTATTGGTACAATCTAAATCCATCTGTATCAATTATAAAGTCACTTGGAAGATTTTATTTGGGTTCTTTGTTTTTTCAGGAAAAATATAAATTAAAAACTGAAGTGTTTGGTAAACTTTCTTTATTATCTATGGAACAGTATAAAGATTTCTACGATATAACGGGAATAGACATTGACGATCGTCAACCTAAATGTCTTCAAATGGCTACAACTATGGAGGGTTGTATCCGTCGCTTAATTGCATTCGCCAAGTCCATCCCAGGTTTCACAGATCTCAGTATAGAAGATCAGTCTAATTTATTAAAATGTAAGTTTATTAAAACCTTTTACTTATTCCTCATAGCAAATCAAACAGATAAAACCTACAAACGCAACATACTTTGTGTTTGAATAGTTTGTTTAAAACAAACCATCACTACCTATATAACATTTTGTGATTTATTAAAAACAAACCTACACAACCTAGCTATTACATCTTTGAATAGTTTATTAAAACATACCAACACAACATATTTTATATTTTAATAGTTTATTAAATCACACCAGTACAACATATATTTGAATAGTTTATTAAAACACATCAACACAACATATATTTAAATAGTTTATTAAAACACATCAACACAACATATACTTGAATAGTTTATTAAAACACATCAACACAACATATATTTGAATAGTTTATTAGACAACACACTCTTTCTTATATTTGAATACTTTATATAAAGCTAACCAACACAATCAATCTTATATTTGAATAATTTATTAAAACACCCCCGCACAACATATATTATATTTGAATAGAATATTAAAACACACACACTATCTTATATTTGAATAGATTATTAGAACCGTGGACCTTATGATACTGTATTATAAGGTCCATGTTAGAACACACCAACACATGAACACAAAATATCTTGCAAGAATCCTTGACAGTTTAGAATTCGAAATAAGAGTAGGTGTATTGCCACTGTCCGGACAAAATTCCTCTCATAGCACTGCAATGTTGTGCAGAAAAGTAGGACATTAAACACCATTTCGTTTCAGTTAATTTAAAACACCAGAACAAAACCTATCTTATATTTAGGAATTGTTGTACGTGGTCATGATGCCTGTTGACTGTTGTGCTTTTTCAATCTAAAAACATTTTCTCGAAACATTAATCATTTGTTGGCATTTTCTATTTTCCAGCCTCAAGATTTGAATTTTTCTTCTTAGGCTTCTATAGAGGTTATAATAACAAAATTAAAACAGTTATCTCACCAGCAGGTAATTGTATGTATTATGAAGAAGTTCAAAATGTCATCAAAGGAGATTTTATATTAAAGTGTTTTCAGTTTGCTGACAGCTTGAAGAAACTAGATCTTCAGTATGATGAAACAGTCATATTAAAAGCTATTGTTTTACTGTTTAGAGGTAATATACATTTCCTACCATATTATATGACATTAAGGGGTGTTAGGTGATCTTGTGGTCTAATTTCTATGCTTTAGAACCTATGGTTCGTCATTGAGTCAAGTGGCGTGGTTTCGAGCACGGGGAATATTGAAATAAAATTGTACCATATATGTTTGTCCCAAAATGACCCACATGTTGTTTGCGTCAAGTGGACGTCAAACCTGATTTCTCTCTATATATTTATATATATATATATGACATTTTAAAGGAATGGTTGTCCAGTTTAAAAGCAAATATAGAAAGTTTCAGAACATATGCAATAACAACTTATTGCCTCATATTGATATAGATCACTTCTTGCATAAGTTAACATTATTTTCATCCAAGTCTGAAATGGGGTTTATCGTCCTACTGTTATGCTCCGACTGGGCTAATGAAGATGGGCATATGCCATACAGTGTTCTATGAGGCAAATTTTGCCCGAGCAGCAGCACTATGTTCTACTCTTATATTGAATTCCAACTGCTGAGGAATATTCAATGTATACATGGGACCTAGACAGCTGTCCTTGTTAGACCCTGAGGGTTGAATGGCTAAATGGTTAGCGTGTGCGCGCTGTATCATAAAGTCTGTCATTGAGTCAACTGGCCTGGTTTCGATTCTTTTATTTAGTCAGTTTAAAAGTTTACATTTCACAAAATCTTTTAATATTGACTACTTATTTCAGATCGCTGTGAATTAGAAAATCCTGATAAAGTGGAAGAACTACAGTGGCCATTGGTTCAGTGCTTAATTTATCTGGTTAAAAAAAATCATCCTGATCAGCCTAATTTTTTTGGAAAAATAATGGACAGACTAATGGAAATTCGAACAATATCAGAAGAAAATAGTGTAGTTATGAAACACCTATTATTAATTCCAGCTATCCAGAAAAATCCTTTATTATTAGAATTTATATCATTTTAGTACAAAAGAGATGTGTATAGCCCAACCATAACTGTACACAAAGAGAGCATTTTTGACTTTCAATAAACCATAAATATGTGCAACATGTATTAGTGAATTTGGATTTTATTGAATGTTTGTGTTCTTACTATGAAGCAAAACTTTAATATTGTGATAAATCAAACAAAAGAAAAGACATATATACACACACAGATGAAGACAAGAAATATGTCAGTAGTTTTTTTGATGCTTACATATGTGTACAATTATTTGTCTTATATTTTACCTGTTGATTAGGATTTTTTAAAACCAATTTCTTGTCAGTGGGAAGAAACAGAAGAACCATCACATAAAAACACTTGACTCAATGACAGACCTTATGATCTAAATCCTATGTATTAGACCATTCGGTCATCCAACACCCCACTGCCCTCCAGTGCTTAGAATATGCTTTAAGTATTTTGTCCAGGCCAGTGTTTTTTTTGCATCATTAAGTGTCAATACTTTGTATTTTACAACATATATTGTTATAAAGATTTAAATTTTAAACCTCATCAATTTCTACAACAAATTGGTTGGAAATATATTTTTGTTTTGTGATATATTTACAAAGTTCTCTTTTCCTAAACACAATTTACACCCTTCCTTATTTTAAGCGAAATTCCTGATTTTCTTTTGAAATATGGTACAACCAAATTCTAAAACACTTATGTTTTGTGCATATTCGACCTATGGTCCCAAAACTGATTCTGTACTCTTGCATTTTCTTGTTCTTCTTGTGGCAAAGCCTTTTGAAAGTGACTATGGTTCCTTGATCCTTTAATTGGAGTACCATCAACATGTGAAACTTGGCATTCTTGTTTTTTTTGATAATTGCACATCGTACACACTTCCAAAATGACTGCAATGACATCATGGTTGTTAATTCCTGGTTCATGCTCATTTATATAATAATAATTGTTACAATTTCTATCGGTCTATATGTGTCAATCTGATTAATATACAGATCTAAATTTCATTTTGTTTAAATTGTTTATATAAGTGTAGAACCTACACCGTTGGCAAATATATATCATTAGAATCATTATTTCTAGTCTAGCCCTAGACTTTAAAGATGGGTTCCCAGAAAAGTATTTATTGGGTGGTTATTTCCAATAAAAGTATGGCAATTTTGGTATATATGGAAAGTAGAGATATCCAATCTTACTAGAAAAATACTGGATTCCCTGAAAAACACTCATGGAGCGTATACAGGACAAAAATGTAATGGTTCCCCTAATCGACAGCCCATCTATTAGGAATTTCTGCATGCATGATGTCAAAGGTCACACGCGAAATTTGAGCGCTTGATGTACAAGTTGATAAACTTTATGAAGAGTTAGACGTACAACACTTTCTGAGATAAAAATGACGAAAAAAGACACGGGTAGTGGATTATCCGATAAATTAATTAAGATTCAATTCTCCTCTGACTTCCAAGAGAGGTAAGTCACGTGACGTAAACATGACCTGGTTTGATCGAATTTTTATAGCAGGGCATTCCTTCGCAATTACAATGTTTGAGAAGGATTTGAAGCAAAATTATGACAAATTAATTAGTTTGAATATGTTTTTAGTCCATACATGTATATACCATTAAATCACCCAGTTTGTACGCGGGAATTTATCTTTAAGAACATGAAATGATAGAACCTATTGCCCATTATTTCTATAGGCCTATTTGTGTAATAGGCGTTAAGGACATGGTATTTATTGTGTATTTTAAAAGAGCTCTAAAATGTATTCCATAGTATAGATAGATTTGTTAGTCCCAGATTAGTCAAACTAATAGGATTCAGTTTAAGGACAGACATGGGTATATTGTAAAAAAAAAAAAAACTTGTATCGCCAGCAACCAGCATTGTTACTAGAACATTTATTTGAGGAGTAAACTATATGATTTTGTTTCTACTTATTTGTAAATTGTGCTATGTACATTAACCATTGTAAGTCAACAAATTATATCTGTGGCTTGATTCAATGCCACCATATTTCTTTCACAACCAATCAAATGCCTTGTTTGTATATAAACCTGATCATCCAGTCATTTAAGCATTTTACATTTTAACTACATTTATATGTTAGACCTAAGGCAACACAAATAAAATAAGTTGTTTCTCGGGCACCGCCCGCACGCAAAATTGGTTGTGCATGCGGCCTATTTATTAGTCTTGATGAAAAATAAAAAATATGTAACGCCCGCCCGAACATCGATAAGCAAGTCATAAAAAGAATATGCCGCATGTATCTACATGCCCCATACTTGAATATCCATTCAAATGTATTAAACTGATTCAGATGTAAACGCTCATTTACAGGTCTTTTTTATTGATATCGAAAGAACCTCCATTTTTGTATCACATGATTTTAATTACCTCCCCTTGTGAACTAGAATTTGATTCGTGTTAAACACCGAAAGTCATTGACAACAATGCAATGTATTTCAATCATTCGATCTTAATCGGCTCATTATTGCCAGCTTCAGTCGGTCCATGTTTGAAAAAATCCTACTTACAAAACAATGAATCGTAGAACAGGTTAATATTATAGTAGTCACCATACCTTAGTCAGAATCTGGGTCATTAGCACATTTAACGGTAGTTTTGATAATCCGGAAAATAATAATTGGATTACACATTTAATGGTTTTACTGACCAGTTGTTAGTTAAATTTAAATAGTCATTCGATATAAACCCCAGATAGAACACCAAATATCCTGAGAAACACACCGAATATCCTGGGAAACAGTCATTTCCCGAATCCTGATGACACGTGACATGCATTGGTTGGAATTAGGTCAATCATTATAAACCAGCGATACTAGATTTAGATCTAAGTGTCATTTACCGTGATGATTATTTCTGATACACATGCTGACAGAGGCTTACTCTTTAAAATATTGTCGTTATTATGGACGGCTATTAATAGTCGTACGGAATTTTATTTTAAACCAATTTCAATTATGGTTGTCACCATTACCATTAGTAAGCTACATTACGTGAATTAAATATGGAAAATTATTTTCCTTTCATTCAGTGTTTGAGTAGACTTGATTTTTGGGTTTATGTTCTAAGTATGTATAATATATAACTGAAAGCAAAACCGTAGACAAGTAATGACTTTCTCATTAAAAAAAAAAAATACAAGGCCGCCCTCCCACCCCAACAATTTTCAACAATAGCCAAATTTTATTTTGCACCATCCTCTAGCCAGAAATGAGGTAAAAAAAAAAATAAACCGCCCTCCCCCCCTACAGTTTCAGCTGTCAGTTGCCCGAGAAACAAGACATTTATTTTGTGTAGCCTAATTACAGAAACTGGATAATTATTCTTACCTTAGAACAAAACTAATTTAACGTATTGCAATTAATTTAGAAAATTACAAGACGTAAAAAATTTTTGTAAATATCCATATCATTTGCATTCCATTTTGATTAAAATAAATCATTTAACATGTGTTAATATACCGGTGGTTTTGACAAACTAAAAAATATATAAAAGCTCAACTGAAGAACCGAGTGCCAAATTTTATTATTCAACTGTTTCAAGTTTACAAGAAGTCCTTTACACCTCCAGTTAGATATTTTATAATAATATGTTTTCGCTGGTCGATATCATTACCGCTAAAGTGGTATGCATTTATTAATAAAGATTATTCTTTCTTTTGTTAAATAATCTAATAAGATAAAGCTAATCTTTATCATAAATCTCTCTTTCTATTCAAAATTTGAATTTGCTTTCATGTTTTTGAGTATGTTTTCTGAAATTATACATGTCTCACTTTAAAGATGCAGGTCTTTTTGCTAGCTTCAAATGTTATAGGGGGGGTTGGATGGCTGAATGGTTAGCGTGCGCGCGTTGTATCATAAAGTCTGTCATTGAGTCGACTGGCGTGGTTTCGAATCCCCGGTTGTACGTGGCAAGGAGTAGGGTTGCCTGTCCAACCTCGTGGGTTTTCTCCGGGGCCTCCGGTTTCCCCCCACTGCTAAAGACCCCTACGCGCAAGCGAATTATGTAAATAAAATTAAACCATATGTTAGTCCCGAAATGACCTAGTTTGTGTCGAGTGGACGTTAAACCCCATTTCTCTCTCTCTCTCTCAAATGTTATATTAAATTATTATTTAGACATGTATTTACATGACAAGCCCAAAACCAACTCTCTAGTTCATCAGATAAAAACACCACACCATTTAATAATATAATGATAAAATGGATAATCAAGACTTTATTATCGTAGCCTAACAATCGAGACTTATCTTAATATATTAATTTTTCATGATCAATTTTTCAATTATTATCGCAAGAACAGACATCCCTTTATCTAAATCTTACATATAATGTATGTATCTATATTATTTAGATAGATTTTTAGAATATTTATTATTATTAGAATATAATTATCATTTAGATATTTTATAAACTTTTTGTTATAATTTAATTGTTATTCAATATAATTGTTATATATTGGTGCCAGTGTTAGTGTGTTCTTAGTTTTTATAGAATAAAACTTATCAAATCTGTTTAGGCCATACAAAGAAAATAATTTGGTTCTTGGATAATCCCTACCAAAAATCTGATGTGGAAGCGAGTTATTATTTTTTTTTTTTTTTTTTTTTTTTTTTTCCAAGGATAACAGTTAAATGACTTCTCATAAACATCACAGGTTTTGCAATTATCTCATGTTGTTTATAGTTTATGATTATCCAGTATCATTTATGCTTGTTAATAACATTTATCAGGGTAGCATACTTGATAAATGAGCATATCGCACATTTTGGGATTATTTCAAATTTACTTCCTGTAACCAGAGAAAAAAATTTAAATGTGGTAATTAATGAGACTTTTTTTTTTTTAAATTAAAAACGGGTCATCCGTCCTGTTTTAAATGACGTGGGATTATCTAAGAAACAGAATATCTTTTTATTTATATGGCCTAATCCTAATATGGATTTTTATATATTGAGATCGCGAGTGGATTATACACGGTTTCTACCTGCAGTAGTATAAAATGATAAATACTGTATGATACAAGATTGTTATTGGTATATAGTTTTTATTAGAGTATTCTCAGTTTATGGAAATGTCAATTTGAGATGATTTTACTGTAAATATTGTTATTGTAAATTATCTGATTAATTCTTTCGTTAAAAACATTATTCCGTCCTGGATTATATATCTACAAATATATGCACGTCCAGATGAAACACTCTACTTCTTATAAATCTATGCAATCTATCTCTTGAATTGACCACATAAAATAGCTGAGGTCAGATAATTATCTTTAACACTGTGACCAACAAATAATCAAGTGAATGCAGAACTTAAACTTTCAAATAAAGTCAGACTTAAATGTTAAAAGTATCAAGTTAATTATAAATGGAGTATAGATAATTTTAATTTTAAAATATTCACATTTAGAAGTAATCATGAAGATGCAAAAAGATAAATTTAGAATATATACACAATACAAAATATAATTGTTCTTGGGACAATTCATCCATAAAATCTGATGCAGGAGGGAGGTTTTTATATTCGAAATTATCCGAGAGACAATTTTTTTTTGTCATATGGTTTAAAGTACAACTTTGACTGATGTAAGATCTGCATACTTGCACTCTGTGGTCTTTATTTATTCAAGATATATGCATGGGATTTGGAGAACAGGATTAGCCTCTTCTATACATAGTCTGCTTAATATACCTCTGCTCTTTAATAATATTGTTTGTACGTGACAAGGAGTTGGGTCGCCTGTCCAACCTCGTCGGTTTTCTCCGGGACCTCTGGTTTCCTCCCACTGCTAAAGACCACTATGCGCAAGTGATTTATTTAAATAAAATTAAACCATGTTTTAGGGCCGAAATGGCCTAGTTTCTGTCGAGTGGACGTTAAACCCCATTTCTCTCTCTTTAATAATATTGTACTATGATTTTTGAACAGTGTCAAATAGTATACAAAACATTTTAATAGAATTTAAAAGGCAGCTTTTCATATATCTTTTATAGAAAAAAAAAGATGTTATTTAGTATGTTTGATGTCATTGTTTTGGTTAAACCAGTTATTAAATTTGTTAACAAATTTTGTTATTTTATAGAGATCCAATAGATGAATCAATATGTATTTATTTTCGGGCATTCATTGACTAAATATAATTTTTTGAATCTTTGTGTTTAATTTCGTTTGGTCCCTGTCATGTATCATATAAAAACCACCTTGTTTAAGTTTCAGAATGATATAATGTGTTCAAAACACATTAAATATCATTGATTTAATCGTGTCTGTGAATATACTAGTAAATGATACAGATACAACATGAACTCTCGGCATCGGAGCATTGAACTGTAATTGTTGTCAATTCATAAGAACTGTACCGGTAAATTGTGCTGTATGTAGATTGAATTAATTAT